CTATATTCATAATATTTTCACAATGAAATGTTCCTCGCTTGTAATTTTCATCCCTCTCCTTCCCTGACTCACTCAATCTTCAGAGTTTGGAGCTTTGGTCTAGTATAGAATTCTTGGACCCCAACCCTCCATCACTCTCGTCGCCGTCTCGGCTGTCAACAGAGCATTCCGACGACTCTCATCTTCTCTGAACACTCTCCGTATCGCCGAATCAGTAACCTCTCTCATCCTCTCATCATCATCTTCTTCGTTACTTTTTGTATATTCGTCATCGCTGAGATCGATCGAAGATACTCCAATTTCTACGGGATTTGTATAACCGTTTGCAAGATGAGGAAAAACAGAATCATCGTCTGAATCGCTATCAGAATCATCGTCTGAATCGCTATTAGAATTCTGAATGTAACCCAAAACAATTTGTTCACAACTGTGTAGCCAAAAAAATGTATTTTGTTCATAACTATTTTGTCGAATAATAATGATCCTGTCAGCACTGTATGTCCAAACAAAATTTGTTCATCACTGTGTAACTTGAATCCATTCCAATTCACAACTTAAAATAATATGAATTAAATCCATTCAAAATACATAACTGAAATCCATTCAAATTCGCTCTTTTTCATTCTAAGTTAGTTTAACAAAGAAAATTACATAACTGACTATCTGCATTAATGTTCGGAACCTATGTATTGAACGAAAGGATTATGTTCAGTACTGTATTATCAAATATAATTCTAACAGTCAGCAAACCAGTATCGAACAGCTCGAACGAAACAAGAACGACCGAAAACGACCGAGAATGTTAATGCAAGACAGATAAACTTATAAGATGATGAAGTATACGTTATACTTGAAGCAAAACTTTCAAGTTCAATAGCGTTGATGATGGTAATGAAGATGACACATTCAAGATTTAAGATGATTATGAAAAATAATAGATTTATGGTTTATGTTAGTTGGTTATGAAAAGTAATAGGTTTAGGATTTACAAACATAGAATACGTATAGTTAGAGTTGGAGGTGGGGGTGGGGTTGGTGTCCAATATTATAGAGTATTAGTTCTTATTGATAGGTGGGTGTTCCATTTAATAATGTCTTTTAATGTAAATTTACTTTAGGGTATAATTGTAATAAAAAAAAATTATAAAATGGGAGGTCCACAGAATTTTGGCAGGTGCTAATAGCAACACTCTTATTATTAGGGTAAATTATAAATACATGAGGTTTACTTAAAATACGGATTGCCTTTGTGGTTCTAGAAATTACATCCCCTCTTTCAAGTTTCTAATTGCATAACAAATTACTCCCTTTATTAATAAATCACCAATTCAATTAACAATTTTTAATGATATCAGAAATATATTTCAGTTAACAATTCAGGTAATTTTATTCTTGTATAGGAGAATAGTCAGAAATTTCTTTTTTTTTTTTGTTAATTCTGTTATGTATCTGTAATTTCTAAAACCAGAGGGAGCAATTTGTATTTTAAGTAAATCTTAGGGGGCCTGGCTGGGCTGAGTTCATTTTTGCACAGGTGTTCCGGGCAAAAATCCTTGCTTTATTCATGAGAATTCCAGTATTAGCAATGTTAGAATTTCTCATCTTTACCTTCACCTACTCCACTACACACTCCACTTCACCTACCTCCACTTCACCACACACTCCACTTCACCTAACCCACTATCACCTCCACTACACCTACTACCACATTTTCTTCTATATATAGATTGTATAGGAATTGTAATCTATGAATCTTGTAAGATATCAATCAATCAATAATACATAATTTCTTACAATTATAAAGAGTATTATTTTTCTATGTAAAAATAATTTTGTTATAAGTAAAGTTTTATTAGAAACAAGAGCCAACGAAAGGGGTGCAATAGACAGGATATAAAATATGATCTCCTATATATATAGGAATGTACTAGTCCCCCAAAAAGTGAACAAAATCGTCTAAAGAGCAGGGAAGAGCTCCTCTGTGCCAAAGAAAAAGAAAAAGAAAAGAGAGAGGAGATAATTACAAATACCATGCACAATCCCTTTCAAACAATGAATCGAAATCTCAACATTTTCAAAAGATTTCCTATACCTTTCACTCCACATGCACCACATAAGGCAAAAAGAACAACCTCCCCTGCCTCTCTAAACCTTCCCCTCAGACAAACTCTGTTTCAAGTCGTAGATAGGTATATGACATAACAAGGCATCACTCCCTCCACACCAAAGACTGAGAACATCTTATTCCACACACTGTTGGCATATTATAATCACCGAAAGTCACTTAGTATTTTATTAGCCGAAAGGCACTAGGGTCTGTAATCATTGTTATGCCCTTAGGGATCATCTTGTAATTGTCTTGTTTGTAAACCCTAATCTTCATCTATAAATAAGGGGTGATATCTCATCATACCCTAAGCTGATTATTCAAGCTTCACACACCTCCCTTGCAACTAGACCACATAAGAGGAGATTATTCACCCTCTCCCTGTGTGGTTTGCACATGCAACTTAATCCAACAACCAGCTTCCAATAAAAGGAAGCCAATAAGAACAAGTCAGTCGTGGTCCCATTCCAGTGTAGAACAGCCTTCCTTCCTGCCTGGGCTTGCTCCATGTGCATCTTGAGTAAACACCAAAGCACCATATCCATACAGTATTTGCAATTCTTCTAGTAGAACCCAAGTGCTTGGGGCTGATATCTTAATTTAATTGTGTTGTTTTCTTCCATTTCTTAATTCTTTGCCACATGTGAATTTCATGAACTAATTTTTTTTTTTGGTAGGTGTGAATTTCATAAACTATTCTTTTATTTCTTAGGGACTATCTAGGTATTAGACCTTATTCATGGGCAGATGGCCACCATTTTTTTTTCTTGTCTCTCTCTGTATATTGGCCTGTTTCAATTGTTTTACATAGTATATATACTCATCTGCCTGCATAAACGATCATGTTACAGTATAATATCTTATTGCATGTTTCAGACACCAAATCCAGCCTGGCCGCCACCTTCGCTCTTCCTTCCTGTACTGCCTGAAAGGATAAAAGACTTCTCTACCAAAAATTGGTGCCAGATAGCAGGATCAGGTCCAGTACCATGGCGACAAGCACCCAGTTTGTTCACTTCTTCAGCTGCTCAGTCTGACTTCCAACCAAGGATGCCTTTTGATGTTGACATACCAAGTGGCATCGATAGACTTATTGGAAGTGAGCGACTATCTGCCTCTTCTTTGGAAAAGAAGAAAGTAGAGGATTCATCTGAAAGATTAATGAATGGTAGCCTGAAGCTTGGTGCATCTGAAATACTTGAGAATGGTAATGCATGTATTGATCTTTTCCTACATATATGTATGATCTAACAAATAAAGAAAGTGTATTACTTTCTATGTCCCTGCTACATGCAGGCAAATATGTTTCAATATACACACATACAGTGAGTAGTTTGTTATCCTGATGTGGGCATTTTGTTGCAGGAATTAACAGTGGGGAGCAAGCTAGTCCAAGCATAAATGTTCCTCAGAAATCATCCTTCTTAAAAATTGACACATCTACATCACACTTTGGCTTGGGTGTATCTTCTTCATCACTAAATGAATCGAATGATCAAACAAAGGTTTCTGGTTGTCATGCACCACGTCCAACCCCTCCACCTCTAATTGGGAAGCAGTTCTGTGGGCATAATGGAGTTGACTCATCTGGTGAAACTCAGATACGCAATGGAAGGCCTCGAAGCGATGCAAGGTCACGAAATCAGTTACTTCCTCGGTACTGGCCCAGGATAACTGATCAAGAGCTACAGCAAATCTCTGGAAAGTATCCTATTGTTCTATGTGGTGGTGTTCTTGAGTTTTTATTGTATGTTTACCAAATGTTATTGGTATTTGGTATGTAAGTATACAGCAGTAGAAGCCAGTTCTTCTGAATTCAGATTTCTGCATGCTCTTTGTTTTGATTTTTGCAAAAGATGTTAATTATTTTCAAAATTGGTGGAAGGGCTAGTTATGCATAATTATATAGAGTATATATTTTTAATTTCAATTAAGAAATTCAGTTTTTTATTAACCTAAATATTCCGATTCAGGATTGAGCAGTTTAGTGCCTTGTAAACCTTAACCACATGTAAGTTCAAACTCTGTAATTACTCCTTTATTTGAGAAGATGTTAAGCGCCAGTGATGCAGGGAGGATAGGGCGCTTAGTGCTTCCAAAAAAATGCGCAGAGGTGAGTCTTTGTACATAATTTCCCAGCTTGATTTTTCAATTTGTTCAGCATTTCAGTTAGGCAAGTTCTGTGTTAGGAAATTAACAATATTCTGCTTTATATATACGTATACATAATCATTAAAAAATTGGCAAATACCTGATTTAAAATAATCCAGCGTCCAAAAAATTTTGATTTTTGGATTTTTTAAAGGAAAATATTGAAAACATTGCCTATCAAATTACATATATATGTACATGAATAATGGGTAAACCAAATTTATTTGAAAAACATAAAGTTGATTTCAGTGGTAATTTATTAATGATGACTTTGTTATAACAAAAGTAGTTGAAAACTGTTTTACCAGTAGATATAAATTTGATGGAAAATTTTATTGCCTTATAGCTTGATAACAATTGTGATAATGTTAAGGGTATTTCTAAAGCTGACTTCCTGGAATAATTCATGTGGTAGTGCTTCAAGTATTTGTTTGCCTCTGGTGAAGGTAGCGTTCTATAATGTACATTAGTTCAGTCTCTGACATTTAACCATCCTAATGTGTGCTTTATTTTGTCACGATACATTGAAAGTGATTTCTTCTTGAAATTTTCATGTAATTTTAAATTTCTTGTGCTTTTAAGCAATCCTGACATAGTTGTCATGTATTCTTATTGTGAGACAGGCCTACTTTCCACCAATTTCGCAGCCTGAAGGTTTACCTCTCAAAGTTCAAGATTTAAAAGGGAAGGAATGGATATTTCAATTCCGATTCTGGCCCAATAATAACAGCAGAATGTATGTTTTAGAGGGGGTCACTCCTTGTATACAGTCAATGCAACTGCAAGCTGGTGACACAGGTAACTTTCCAACATTGCTGGAAAAACAATCCTTTGGGAGGTTCTACCCTTTCGCTTTAGTTGAATGGTTTCCTTCCGTGTTGTTTGGGGTGATGCTCTTAGGTTGAGAGATGGAAGCTTTAACATATTTATTATCTGTTCACCTGGGATCTCGCTTACTGTTGCTCTTTTTCCATTGCCTGCTGCTTCATATTTGGAGTACTTTTTTGCATGGTTTTGGTGTTGCTTGGGTTTCTTTCATATTTTATGGGTTATCACTATTCACCCAATCATTTGAATTGCAGAAACCTATCTTGCATGTTTTAGTGCCATAACATAAAAGTCATGCTTGTGCGTTTTGGTTGCCTTCCAATTACTGTTTATCCACTTCCTTTTTTCCTTCCCTCTTACAAGTTACCCTCAGAAGTATTTGGTTGAAATTATTGTGAGTTCTCTTGTTTCTGGGCTGAGGTTTGATTTTATGTCCTCAGTAACATTTAGTCGGATAGAGCCAGAGGGGAAGTTGGTCATGGGATTCAGAAAGGCCTCAATTACTCCATCATCAAATCAGGTTTGTCTTTTACAATCAAGCTTTTTTTTTTTTGGCTGGATAAACCCATCAAAGGTGGACCAAAAATTAGTAGTTGCTGGATAATCCCATCTTTTTTGGCATAAAGATTGCATATCTTTACGCCAATATTACCCAGCAATAAAGATTGCCTCAATTGCTCAATTTTTTCCTTTACACCAATATTGCTTAATTGTAGTCAGCCTGAAAGTGCTGTACTCAAAATATGGATGCTTGTTTATATTTGAGATCATCTTAAATTCGTGGCTGCATTTGAACCGTTACATCTTGTTAATGGCAATTAGCAACCTGACAATAAGATTGCAGATGTATGAAAATGTGGATTACTTGTGCTTCAATCTATAATATATTATGTTTTTAAAGTACCTAATTCCAAAGCCCTAATTAGAGCATGTTGCAATTCGGTAGCCTTTGCGTTTTATTTTCTGCAATTTCTGGAGTCTTTCAGAATATGCAGGTTTAAATGCCGTAGTAACTATATGTTTTGTTGCTCTCTAACTGCAGGGCAATGAAACTGCCAATGCTAGTAATGGGATTTCTACAAATGGAGATGTTAGTGCGAAAAAAATTAAAGCTGGTGAAGTCCTTTCAACTCATCAATTAAAAGGAAATTTGGTATCACCTGGCTTTTCGTCAATTGACCAGGCTAATTCAGCTGATCAAGCAAGTCCATTGTCTAAAGATGATAAATCTGGGTACAAAGCTAAGGAAGTGCTTGGAGCTAAATCTTCTTTCCGCAATAAGAGGAAGAACAGCATATTGGGTTCAAAGAGTAAACGACTAAGAATTGAAAAGGAGGACCTAATAGAGCTGAAACTGACATGGGAACAAGCTCAGGGACTGTTACGACCACCGCTGAACAGTGTCCCAAGTGTTGTGGTAATTGAAGGCTTTGAGGTTGAAGAGTATGAGGTACTAAACTTCATCTCAGTTAATTCTCGACTTGAATTGGTGACCAATATTGTCTGTACAGTGATTAATAACAATTTCCGACTTTTGGCTACCATTGAGAATGTAGAATGTTATCTGTAATATTTTAGTTGGTAATTTCCTATCATCATTTCTAAATTTGAGTATTTATCCGCAAAATAAGTTCATCACAAAATTCTGATTCAAGTTCTCAAAGGGAGCATGCCATAGATTTTTCTTATATTTGGTGATGTGGGGAGTAGAGGCATGTGCTGCGGAAAATGCTGATTATGGGGAGAAAAAGCAGACCAAATGTAAAAGAGAAAAATGAATTAGGATAAGATTTACAAGGTCTACAGAACTTGCTGAGACTTTGATATTTGTACTTATTTCAATGTGGAAGTTGCCTCAAAATTATAAATCCTTGGATCCTAAAATTCACATGAGATAGGCCACTCCTTGACTTCATGTATTGGTTTTTTTTCAAATTATGGTTCACTAGTTTTGTGCTTTACATTTAATTTTCAGATGAATATTCTTGGTGGGTTTGTTTGTATACTGATATTAATTAAAGCCAACAGACTTTCTGACTTGATTCACTTTAGCAGGATGCACCAATTATTGGGAGGCCTACAATTTTTGCAACAGATCCTATGGGGTAATCACTTGAATGCTTAGGCTTGTATTCGAATACAAGTTTCAGTTTGATATTAGTTTTGTATACTATCTTTGGATGGTGTACCCTCACTTTTGATTTTTTCAAGTGCTGGGATGTATCCTGGATTTCATATACTAAATGTTGCATCCAGCATCTGCAATGTTAATCTTATCCATATTTGGTCTCCATTTTGGGAATGTAACAGAGTTATTTTGTCTTGAAACTGAGTTTCATTTATTTCTCGTAATATTATACCACATCTCAATTTCTTGCTGCAATGTTTTCAATTTTATCACTTTGTGCCTAGTGAATGACAATGCTGCTTTGCAAATATGTCAGAGAAAATATCCAGTGGGCTCAATGTGAAGACTGTTTTAAGTGGCGCAAAATTCCCGCTGATGCTTTTCTTCCTGCAAGATGGACCTGTTCCGAAAACTCATGGGATCCCGAAAGGTAAGATAGGCATCCAATTCTGTTTATGAAACCTGGACTTTGTGTTCCTACATACAATGTTTTCTTTGTTTTGAAATATGTTGTTGATTGCCGCTGTCAAAGCATGCATTGCTATATATTCCTCATCTTGTTGAGGGATGCAAATGTGTATACAAGGCATATTTTTTTTCTCAGATTGTATTCCGATGTGTAAGTGGCGATACGATACGTAATGGCCAATACTTAAAATCCGTTTGAGTGATGCATGGATTACTTTAAATGTCCCGGCACTTTTGGATTTGGAAAATAGTTGAACTTGAGCACTTCAGACATGTTTTTTCATACTCCTGTAGGTGTAGTGCTATGAGTATTGCTTTTCTTTTTCCCCTGGAAATGGTCAACATCAATGACTATCCACTCGTTTCATATTCCTTGTTTTGCCTATTATACTTTCCAAGAGATGTTTCTGAAACCTCAAGCGATTTGGTGTCTGGATTCTGGCTCCCTTAAAACAATGTGAAGTGCCTCAATTACTGCGGGTACACTCTGATTTTTGGTTTATTTGTTTTTCTGAACTTAAGTTTTTATTACTTAATTGAGCCTTTCCAACAATCTGAGGTTGAATACACTTCTTTCCCTGTCTTTTGGTCATTCAACTCTATTCCGCCTATTTTCTAGTTAGCTTGATCAGCCGATTTATGTCCTCCATGATTCTTCCAAGTTCTATCACTATTTTAATCCTTTGGCCTGCACTTTTTTGAGTACCTGACTTTCATTATGATAAAGCATTTTTTTTCATTTTTCTCCATAACGTGATCTCTGTGTTATTGGTATGGCTAGATCAGAAAATCTGAAAGCACCTACCTCCCTGTTAAGCTAACATCATCAGCATGTAAATTGGGAAGGTCTAGTACCATTATTGTCATTGGATTCTTTCTCTCTGTCTCTCTCTCGGACACAAACATGCACAGTGACTCCTTCCCCCAGCTCCATGCTGTGAGTGGTACCTTAGTTGGGAAATGCTCTCTAGTTTTTTTCCCTTCCCTTTCTTTTTTACTTCCATTGTTAAGCAAAAATCAGAGTTATGCGACACTTTTTTATATTTGGAAGTTCTTAAAGTGTTGCTAAATGGAACCTTAGCTGTTTCTGTAACAATTACTCTCAATTGGACTGATGTATGTAGATCAGAGAAAACCTGGAAGTACCTATCTCACTGTCATAACTGTGAACTTAAGATTGTCCACTTTCAATTATCTCTCTCTCTCTCTCTCTCTCTCTCTCTTATGTGCACTTGTTTGCTATTTTCCCTCCATCTGGAGTACATGACCCATGCATAGGTGCTGGAAGTTGCGTTATTACACTATTGGAATCCATGGGAGTTGTAGCATTTAGGAAATGTGTTAATATTTTTGTATCCTTTTTTGCTACCAGATCTTTGTGTTCAGTGGCTCAAGAATTGACAGCAGAACAACTTGAAGATCTGATACCTTCCAGTAATCGAGGTATGAATTGCTCAAACCATTTCTTGTGTTGCTTTTTTCCTTGTTATCCAGATTTCACCATCTTACCCCATTCCTTTACTGAAAGATTGGAGCATGTGAGTCCATAGAATAATACAGATTTCACTGGATGTAAATATAATCCTCAAAGAGCCTGAGAATGCTCACAGATGGTTGCACTTAATAGGATAGCACATCTCGGTTATATAATTTCAAGTTGATCACTATTTTAAATACTATGTTAATCTAAACATAACGTTTGTGCATGGTTTTGTGGAATTCGCAATTGGTTATTGCGCAGCTGCTTCTAAGAAAATGAAGGTCGCTAAACAGGACCCAGATTCAGTGGAAGCATTAGAGGGGCTTGACGCACTTGCCAACCTAGCCATCCAGGAAGAGGGTGAGGCCCTCCCAGCATCATCATCACAGGCAACAACGAAGCACCCGCGCCATAGACCCGGCTGTACATGCATTGTTTGCATTCAACCCCCAAGTGGAAAGGGCCCTAAGCACAAGCAAACATGCACGTGTAATGTCTGCTTAACGGTGAAGCGCCGTTTCCGGACCCTGATGATGCGGCGTGAGCAGAAACAATCTGAGAAAGATGCAGAAACTGCCCGTCAAAAGTCGCAACAGCACCCACTTTTACCCGAGACACTGCTCGATGACAACAATGGAGGAAGCATTAGTCCAAAACAGAAAATCCCAAGCAGTGAGGATCCGGATGATGATCTGAGCAGGATGAGACCATCCCTTCCAACGTTCAAAGGCCAGATTGACCTGAACATCCAGCCAGAGAGAGATGAGGAGCTGTCACCTGGTTCGGATTCTGGCAGCATGATGAGATTGGTCCAAGATGCCACGGAGAGGTATCTAAGGCAGCAGAGACTAACAAACCCTAACAGAAATTCATCGGGCAATCAGCTGCAGCTGGGTGGAATTGGAATAGGGGGGAACTTAAGAAACAATGTTAGTGTTGCCATTGGTAGTAGCAGTCATCAGGAAGCTGAAGCCGAATGTTCTGTACCTTTGAACTCAAATGCACTGGGATCCACATCAGCCGCAGAGAGATAAAAAAGAGGGGGGAGATAGCTTTTTGTTGTACATTAATCTGCAGTGGCATCGTGCATATGTAGATCTGTACATAAAGAAGAGAAGAGAGGTAGGTGCCGATAATTTTGCTGCTTAAATATGCTTTTATATATTGTGATCCTCTCTACATTGATAGAACTGGGACAATGGAGTGTGAAAAGCAAGGAAAAGCTGGGAATTGTGACTTTGATGAGTGGGTAGTGTGGGTTGAAGCCTATTTATTTTGAATCTGCGTTTTTGGTGCTCACCTTCCTGCCCTAGTGAGGGTAAGTATTAAATATGTAATTAAGTTAAGCTATGTATGCTTTTTAATTTTTTTTTTTTTTGTTTGGCTGAAAAGAATTTGCTTGCTGGTAATTCTGTAACCCCATGTCTTTCTTTCTTGCAGTTCCTTTCTCTTCACAGCTTTGCTTGCTTGCAATGATATCTAGTTGAAATTGTGTGATTTTTTCTTCCAGATTGGTTATTATTAGGGCTGCAAACGAATCGAGTCGAGCCGAGCTTTGTTGAGCTCGAGCTCGACTCGTTTACTTATCGAGCTCGTTTATTGAGCTCGAGCTCGGCTCGATAAGGAACTGGACTCGAGCTCGGCTCGGCTCGATTTTTTTTTTAATATTATTTATATTATGGCTCGACTCGTTAATATTAATAAAATTTAAACTTGGCTTGGCTTGATAAGATTTTTTTATTATTTATATTATTTAAGTAATGTATTTATGCTATTATTTATATATTATTTAATATATAAATAATGTATTTATCATATAATTTAAATAAAGATAAACTAGTTGAGTTTATGCAAGCTCGAACTTGGCTCGTTTACTAAACGAGCCTAATATTCAAGCTCGAGCTTGGCTCGTTTACTAAGCGAGCCGAGCCGAGCTTGTTCATGAACAGTTCGGCTCATTTGCAGCCTTAGTTATTATTATGATTTCTTTGTCTCTGGTGATTGACCTTAGACCAGATCTAATATGCCGAGTAGATTCAAAATGGAGTTGGAATGGTCAATCTAATCATTGTTGTTATGGAGCTAGGGTGGTAAATGAATTTAGTCAAGTTTAGTAGTAAGTTGTTTTAAGTTTGGCTTGATAACTAAAGTCTGTTTGAGTTTGACCTTGTTTATATTTTTGAATCGATTTTAAATGAGTTTTAGAAGAGTTGAATTCGAGTAAACTTGAATTTTTAGCGTATAAATTTATTGAAACTTTGCTGTTTTAAAGCACTCCAGTTGCTGCAGCTTCAGGAATCCCAAAACCCTTTTATTTGTACAATATTTCAACTAGGGGATTATATTGCTAAATTTGCAATTAAGTTGGTTCAGGTTGGAACTATAGTCCCACTACATTTTTTTTTTTGAACCATCGAATACCGGTAAATAATAATTTGTTTACATATTTAGCAAGTCTATGAGCTGGACTAATTGCAGAACGATTTGTTTTAGATACTGCTAAGAAATTAACGGGGATTTGGTTAAAATTTTCTCATAATAAAATTTTAATACATTAAGGGGTTGTTTGGGATGATCTAAATAAGTGTACTTTTTGATTTTTTTTATAAAATATGGGTTGGGTTTGATGTGATGTGGTAGAGAGGTGATGTAACTTAAATAAGATGATATGACTTAAATATGATAGTGATTTTTTGATTTTTTAACTTTTTTGAGTTATGCCAAACTTAGCCTAAGAATAAATGTAAAAATTTTTTCTTAAAAAGTCCAATAAATATCACTATTATTAAAATATTAAATTTTAAAATAATATAACTTTTGATATAGATGTCAGTTTTTAATAAAATTAATATTTTTAGAATTCTCTCATTAAGATCTATCAAATAAGATTTATGTTGATTATGGATTTTTTTTTTACAAAAAAGTTTATTACGTTGAAATTGATGTAAATAGTACCAGTAATATGTTACTTAGTCTCATAGTAATATGTTATTCTGGTTTACAGTAATGTGTTACTTTGACAATATTGTCCAAAAAAGAAAATATATATATAGAGCAATGATTGAGACCCCATCCTCACAAGACCTCCACAAATCTGAATCACTCATGATGTGGACTCCACACATATATAGAGGCTCAAGATCACTTTGGGGGTGTGAGGGTCATCCCAATGGAAGTCTCAAACATTTTATATATATATATATATATTATTTTGTCGTTATTCAATTATGTATTTTTTTCTTTAGGGGAATTGTTGAAGAAAAATAAATTAGTCTGTTCTTTTCACCAAATAAGAATCTAATGTTAAGACTTTGACTAAATTTCTCAAGATTTAAAAGCACTACTTAGCAACTTAATCAAATGACACGTGCTAACTTGGCACGGATTTGGCCATGCATGGGCAAACCGTGACACAGTAAGAATTCAATCGTTGGTTGAATTAGAAAGGAGGCATCTGGTAACTTGAGTTTAAATGAATTAAACTATTATTAAAATCACTAAATCACTATTAAAGATAAGCTTATGCATATGTAAATAATGAGAACGCACTCAAATTACATGAGAGAGATGCTTTGATTTTTCAATTAGTTGAACCTAACAAATTTAAAGTCAAATTTGGCATTATGTTTTATGTTTTCAGCTTACATGGTTTGTTATAAATTTTTTTGTCATATACTTAATATAGGTTCTTAGTTTTTTATTGTCTTCAAAAAAACCTTAAAATTCAAAAGATAATACAGTAACAAAGTGTGTGTAGTTTCCAAATAATAACTTAGCGATTGAGCAGGAGGGGATAAATTACAGAGAAAATCACATCAGTCTATAACTTCAAAAATAATTACAAATTAATAGTAAACTTTATCAATATTAAAACTTAAAATTATAAAGTTTTCCATGGACATGTAATAATTTTTTGAAGATCCCACTGTGGGGTGATTTCCCTTCAATTAAAAAACTAAAAAAGAAATAGAATAATGTCAAGGGAGGAGGGAGGTGGCATATCCTCCAAGTCCCAACAATACACCCTTTTGAATGGGTTTAATTCAAAGTTAAAAAGCCATTTTGGGCTTCCTAAATATCCCCTTGGTTGGTTGAATTATATATGCCAAAAATCCAAAATTTCCAATTCGTTTCACCAAAAATAGTACTGGCAATTTCAGATGCAAGAATAAGCAATGCATGGATATCCATAAAGGAAAAGCCACCCAATGCAATTGAAGCAAACATAGAACTCTATTTATGTCAACAAAACAAGTTCTTTAAGCAACAACTCTCTCTAGCCTCCACAGTTCCTATTACAATATTTGAAATCATTCCAACTTTTCATGCTATGAGCAAATTTCATCGTCCAGTTTTTAGTAGTACTAAAAATGGAGTTCAACATCAAATTGTGTAGAATCTATTAATTAGACACCAACATCAAAAAGAGAATTCCTCATTTCTTTCTCTGATTCAAAACCATGCATGAGAGTTTCATCTCGCATGGTTCCCAAGTGATAAAAAAAAAAAAAAAGAGACAACGACAACAACTCATCTTCTTTCTTTTTTGATTACCTTCCTAGTGAGATTCGATAATAGATGGAATTTGAAGACATGTTTCCAAAATGAACAAGATACCGGTTGAGAAGGGAAAGTTAGCAAAGTTAGACAAGATTGAAATGGACATGGAAACATGTATTGATGTACCAAATCGGCTAATGCTCCCAGGTTTGATGCCATGTATTCCAGCAGTTGACTAAGACTTAATTATTGGTATATCACACGGATTGAAATCAACTAATTGGATGAGCAACAATAAGCAAAGCAACTAAAGCTAAAGCCTACATGCAACAGCCCTACAATATAAGTAACACACATAGACTCCTCATCTCAACTAGGAATTATTCCACCAAGGCAAATGAGTGATATGGTTACCAAATTACTCATTTCCCTCCAATTTCTAAACTCGATCCCGCTGTCGGATTATTAACTTCATCGAAATAAAAACTTCCCACCAACATTTTTGGAAGGTAATAATTCCATCAAACACATTGAAAACCGTAGGTATTGTTGTTTTTTCATTAGTAAACACTGTTATTATTGGGACAGTAACTGACATAGCAATCAAGAAAGCTTTTTGGGAAATGGTAACAAATAGGTAGAAAAATAATTCAAGAGAAAGGAGAACATCGAGATTCGATAAAGAGTTTCCCGGAAACAACTTGGAGGATATGATTCAACAAGTCAAGGACCATTACCGGCTTAACAATCTTCAATGTGAGATTACAAGCAGGCAAGAAAGACGGTCAAGCTTAAAGTCCACCAAAATCTGTTAATGACTGACTACCTAGTTAAACATGGTAACCTACTAACCTAGTATTACCAGATTATAAGCAGAGTCTAGGTTGTAAAGGAATGGAGTGGCCTGTATATATGAGCACGAACATCATGAATCATGGAACATGAAAACTGATGCTGGACCAGGTATTTCAAAAAGCTTCAAGCTATGTTACATTACATGGACTCGGATGAGCATTGTGTGGCCAATGCATGCCTAAGCGGTAGACCATCCGATGCCTAAATTTTAGGATATTGGGATTTGCATCCAAAAGTTGTGTATGAGTACAGGAACATGTCTAAACACTTGTATATATTGCATAATGCACATTATTCTTATATAACATGTTACAAATTATTTAATAATGTACTTCAAATTAAATGAAATTTAGAAAAACGAAAAAGAAAAGCTTGCATCTCTCGTTCATGTGAGAAGCCATAAACAAGTGTCTAAACATCATATAAAATTAGAATAGTTAAGTCGAATATATACAGCATGTCACACCCTTGTCACATCCTCTGGATGAAGGTACTTTGAAGGAAGTAGAAGAATCCACGAAACACAGCCTTCAAGTAGAACACAGCATAGCATCAAGAAAAAAATAAAATTAACATCTTTAATCAAACCACTAAGTAATGTATGATGAAGAGAGTGGTTTTACTTGTAAAATATATAAATAGTTGTATGCCCTGTCCTTCATAACTAAAGGAAGATGGAAGAGGTGTACAGAATTGCAAAATTAAAAATACCATAAGAACAATTCTGAGACACACAAAACATGCAATCAAAAGTTCAAATTCAAGAATTATATTGACATTAAAGAACTATTCACCATTACCAAATACAATAAGAAAATGAAGATAAACATAGAGAACCCAGATTAACATACAAACTCATTTTCACAACTTCATAAGAAAACAAGAAAGCAAATCTTTCATAGTCAGCACAAACTCTCAGGTAAGCAATCAACAATCCAGCCACCCCAAAAGCATATACAGAATCAGCAATAATCCCTTCCAAACAATCATTAAGGATCAACCAAGTCACAGCAAATGGATGAAACTATATATTGGAGCCACTAAAACAAAGCAACACCATCTCCACTTATTTACATGCTTACCACAATCAGTTATGTCCCAGCAGTGGGCAACGCTGCCATAAAAGAGTTGTAAGACGACTCCAAATCAAAGTGAAGCTGCCGAGCCTGCTGCTCTGTCAGCTCATCCGCAGCCCCCATCTTAGCAAGCCTTGCAATCCACTCTTTCATCTTTGTCTTCCCCTCAAAATCAGGAGGTAAAATGGTAAGCTTGTTGAGTGAAGCGGATAGGTCTGAGAGCAATGGGTGGACCTGATCAACAGCAACCATGTTCAGTTTCAACGAGTCCATTGCTGTAATGAAGTTCTGCACGCATTCAGCCACAGTGGCAGCCGAAGTAGTGGAAGACATTGCTGCAGCTGCCCTGTGCTCAACCGTTGCAGGCACGCCTGAAATGACAAGGCGGTTCAAGGCAGCTGAGCAATCCATTTTGTACGTGTCATGGAACCTCTCAATGCTTGGAACGGTGTCTTTGAGTGTGGAAGATAATGTTTTAAAGTGGGCAATTAGTTTTTGGCACTCGAGCTCATACTCTGATGGCGAAATGATGTCCCGAACATAAGCCTTCTCCAACTTTTCAGTGGCTTTAATGATGGCAAAGAGCTCGGCAAAGTTCTCATACATCTCCCTTTCGCGCTTGTCGTTCCATAGCTTAACCTCCATTAGATAGTAAAAATCGAGTATTTTTCACAAAAACAAATTATATATTCAAAAAGGGCTTGAAACTTGGAAATGGAGAAGAGAACGGGTCACGCGCAAATCGGACCAAAATTCTTCGCTGGACAACAATAACATTATAAACCCATCAGATCAATTACATAACATAACAAAACTAATATCCCTAAGATGTGTTTGGATCAAGGAGTTGCCGAGCGAAACAAAAAAGAAAGAAAACAGTGAATGAAATAGGATTTAAAAATGGTTTTGACTCTCTACAAAACACCCATTAAATCCTTGATCCAAACACAGCATTAAGCTAAATACATATATGTATACTTCTCTGATATTGTCTCTGTGTGATGCATGTGTTCATCAAGAATCAAACTTGCACAAAAACACAAGTATTCATGTACGATTACCCAAGAATTACATAAAAAGACGAAAGATTCAACGAAAACATGAGTTTATGATCAAGATCGAATTTGGTAAAAATTAAGCAATTTATCGGTATGTAAATTGAGGGAAGATAAATCCCTACATCAAAACCCTAACTTTCTGAATCAAAACAGCATGTGTATTGAAACCCTAATTTCAGAATCAAAAGCCGAAGACCATACCTCAAGAGAACAAAACCATCACGCGTTTTGAAGAAACAAATCAACTCAAATAGTATTTTACACAGACATACACACACACACATATATATATATATATACAGAGAGAGAGAGAGAGAGACTTACGGAGAGTGCAAACGCGACTTTGAATAATGTGAAGCTGTTGCAGGTGGAGAAGAAGAGGAGAGAGAGAGAGAGAGAGAGGAGATGGAGATGTACGCATGCGGACAGGGGTTGCGTGTGGGGTTGCTCGCATACGAGTATTGTCTTTGCTTACGACACCCACCCTTTACTTCACTGTTGCCCTATTCTATTTAGGTTAATTACACTAAAATCATTATTATTTTATTTAGATTTTTTTTTTAGTAATATGTAAAAAAATCAGTTTATTAGCGTCCCATTATTATTATTTTTTTAATTTTTTATACACTTTTTTTCGTAATAAGTAAAAAAATTAATTTATAAATTATATCTAAAATAATCCGAATATATAAATGATGAGACACAATAATATTGACCAATAGTTAATGAAATATTAATGACCTATTTGCAAACCTTTTCTTTTCTTTTTTTTTTTTTTTGGGAAGGGGGAAAAAATTACAATGACGTCTCACTTGAGGGTTGGAAAAAAGATTTCGTTAATATTAACTTTAGGAGATACTTAAAATTTGAAAAGTTTGTACATTTCTACAAAAGTGGGCGTATTAAAAAATATATAATGTGTTTTAAATTTTTAATATGAAAAATGTTTGAGAGTCACAAAAAGTGTAGTTCAAATGGCTCAAAATTGTCAAAATGATGTCGTTTTGCATCGTTTTACATCCAAAATGACGTCGTTTTGACAGTTTTAAACCATTTGAGCCACACTTTTTGTGACCCTCTACCATTGCTCTTTTAATATATGACCTATGGACACAAGTTAACAAGACTTTTGAAAAAAAAATCGGCTAGGTAGTTAGTTATGATGACTTTTTTGAGGATTTATTAGTTTCTATAAATGTCATGAATTTAACTTTCTTTAGGGAATTGAATTAAGAGGCCATTATACTTTGTAAAGAGTGAGAAGACTAACTTTCATAGGTGTTAATCTAATAATTGACTTTTGTCTATAAAAAACAAAAAAAACTCTTGAAAAAAATATAATATTTTTTTATAAGTTTGACATAATTATAATAAGATATTTTAAAATTTTAATTTATATAACACTGGACTGTCTTATATGAATAAAAAATTGATATTGTCATCTCTTTTATATTGAAATGCATATTTTGCATTGTTTATCCTTTTATTTTCACATCATCTAAATTAGTTTTGGTCTTTTTAATCTAACTAAAAGGAATGCCAATGTAATTATATTAAAATTGTAAAACTTGTTGTATTTTTTTGAATAGTAAGAAAGTTCAGTGTAATACTCTTTCTTTTTTTTTCAATTAGTTCACACAATTTTTTCAGTTTGAACATTTTAAAACTTTCAAACTCTTGAACTTGTATGTTTACCGAATTAGATTTGGTGGGATTATAAGTGAGGTTGAGTGAAGGAATTACTAGTGTGATGAGAGGTATGAAAAATTATTTTTGTTTGTACACCATGTAATGATATTAATTAGCCAGAATTAAATTTATAAAATTATGTAAAAATTCTAATTATATAAGAGGTGATTTTGTAAAATGAAAGGGAAATAGTCTTTTAATTTCTAATTCTATGGGATCAAATTATCAATATTACCTCCCCATGGAACTACTAGTTCCCACCTTTCCCACCTTAGAAGATATTCACAGTCTCATAACATTTTTTTTCCAACCAAACATATGTGTGTGTGTGTGTGTGTGTGTGTGTGTGAGGCTGACATGATTAGTAATTCAATTCCATAGCCTAAGGAGTAAAACAAACATGGCTGTTATTTGGAAACATTAGTAATGGAGGTGGCAAACGAATGAATTTAAATAGTGTTTCTATTTTATTTATTTATTTATTTTAACCGGTTTGAATGAATTAAAATGCATTGTACATTAAAACAACTCATTTCATTTTAAATGAATTGAGATAAATTGAGTACGGGTCGAACAATTTCACCCAACTATTTTGTCTACTTTGTTGAGCTCTTTTTTCTAACGATGGTGGGGTTAGTGGGCGGGCTGTTGGTGGTGGTGTGGTGGGGATGGTAGTAGTTGGGTGGCCATGGTGACGATCATGGTAGAAGAGGTGGAACGAGTACACATGTCCAGTTTATTTAAATTTATTTTTAATTAGGTTTGTAAGATACAACTTGTGTAAATTTGTAATGCCTTGACTTTTATTACCCGAATCTATTACTAAATTCTTTATATTATTACCAGTTTGAATAATGTCATACACGTGCCAACACAAATAGTAAATAAACAATAACATTCTCTCTCGAAAGTGATGATGATATATATAAAATCTGATATAATTAAAAAAAATAAATAAATAAAGAGATTTACTCTTATATAAAATATGACACTCAACCAACAAATAAAAGGCCCCGTGGCCACTAATTAAAAAACTTCAAGTTTGCATAGTCCTTCCAGCCAAGTACCTGAAAAGTTTGTCAACATGTGGCATGAGCACAAAGCCCAGTAAAGATCCCAAAGATCATAAACAATCACAACAGATAGATAGATATGACCATGCATATTCCACATTGATATGTATAGATATGTGACATTTTCATTTACAAAATATACTTATATAAGTATAGTTTCTCTCAAAAGTCCCACTTGTTCGGTTTAGAAACATTATCTTCTTTTCTTAACCACCAACTCAAGATAAAAGATTTAAGCAACCACTAACAACTGCTCTCAACTCAAACTCAATACCAACCTTAAGACATATGCACACATACCAAAACTTCATAACACAAACGAAACCTGTGGCCAAGCCACGTATTAGACAACTCACATAGCACAAGTTTATAAGTTTTAAACTGTTACCAAGCTACTGACACACAATCACCAATAACCTGTGGCCATCGCTGAGCACCACCACAACCCCTGACCATCACTGAGTGTCACTGTGACCATCACTAAACGTCACTAAACCCTGTGGTCCATATGAGTACCAATCCACAAACTAGTGCACTATAAGAAGATACACTCTGTTGGCGGCCATCGTTAAGCACCACCTAACTAGCACCAACATGACACAACCATACATGACCAGGATTCACCCTAATCATTTAATTAAACCAAACTATTTTAATCATATCAAATGCACCAAAGGCATCAATCTACACTTGCAACAAAATGTGCTCCATGCACCTTTGTTCTGTAATGGGTTTTCACTCTCATTAAAACATTTCAAAGTAATACGCTACGAGTTATTACTATAACCAACACCAAGACTCTCTAATGGTTACCTCTTACTCAACCACAATATGAAAACACGAGTTATATCAAAATAAATCCCACTCTCCTCTCTTTCACCAATCTCGTCTCAACATCACAATAATATTAATTGCTACCACACATCAACACATACTAGATAGATATAACTAGCTATCAATAACTAACAACATGCCATCTGTAACACCCTAAATTTCTAACCCAAATGATAATGCAACAATCATGGCTCTTTCAAGGAAAACTGAATATAAATCTCCAAACTTACATTACATGATACAATAGTTCTTCATGCAACAATACATTAATCCAACAACAAGTAAATAAACAAATAAATACCCCCAAGGGTTTACAAGTTTCCAAGGCTTGAGCCTAGTTACACAAAACGATTATTCAAACCCACACACATACAGCCCTTGGCTTACACACAGAGTCATAGCAAAATAAGAGTCTTATACTCTCAATACATATTTCCTCACCTTTAGTTAGGCGGCATCACCACATCTTTTCCTGCACAAAAATCCCGTAGGGTGAGCATAAAGCCCAATAGGAAATCCTTAACAAAGTATATACATTTTATACAAGTCTCAAGAGATGAAATGCACATGCCATGCTATACCCTTTTGAAAGAAAATTATATCTTCATCTTTGAAAACCATCATGCTCAATGATGTCATGCAATTTCAACTGTTCAACATTTATCAATTTTATTCAAGGGGCGGTAAATACAACTCCGTAAATCCCTAGGTCGGTGTCTGCAAATAGACTATACAAGTACTACCAATTTGTCATTTTTACCGGTATTAACCGGAAGGCTCGACATCTATCCACGCGGATTTTCGGTCTTTCACCCCGGACTCTTAGGCCAACTTATTCAATATCATCTGCACCACCTATCAAGACTTACCAACGTATTTACCCCAAAACCATTCCATGAAAATTTGTTTTTCAACATTCTTTTCTGAATGCAAGTTTTCAAATCAACTTTCAAAGTTTAATGTAATTAAATGAATTGATATGCCAATAATACAAGATGAATATAAATACTGTTATTCCAATTCATCATCCAAGGAATAACACAATTCCCTCTTCTCAAGTATCCTCAACAATTAGTCATTTCAAGACTATTTCAATGTATTGAACAATAATTTTCAAAATGAACAATAATTCTCATATTCCCTAAAATTCATCATTTATATAAATAAAAATAAGAAAAATTCCAAACATCCATTTATTTTGACACACAAAATAAATATAACAATACCATTCATGGATTTTCAGTCTCTAAAAAAAATTCCCAAATTCTAGGTTTTCTCACCAAAACTATACAACTCAAATCTTTTGAAAGAAAACTTTCCAAAATCATCTTTTCTTCAATCAACGAAGATCAAACTCATAAGGTCACTTTAAAAGAACAAGAGACAAACCCACTTTTAAAATCGCTCAACTTCTTGAATCAACAATTAATTTTCAAAGCTATCGAAAGATGATTTCGAAAATCATATAGATCTTGCAAATATATATATATATATATATAACTCTAAGAAAATCCCTACCTCAAGTTTTGAAGAAGAAAGGAGATGAAACTCCAAAATTTACGATGTCGAAACTCGATCTCCACTGCATACAACGAAGCCCTCGAGAAGTTACACAACTTTGATAAAGAATTTCGGTCTAACTCCCAACAGATTTGAAGGAATCAAAGAGAGAAGATGATTTCTAGAGAGAGAATCTCTAGATCTGGAAATTTTGGAGGGTTTTAGAGAGAGAGAACTGAAAAAGTGATTTGAAATCTCCCCTCACGGACTGATATAACATAGTCTGCTCGAGCGTGAAATACACTTTCCCGTAAGCAATTTCGAATGCATTTTGCATTTTTGTTTTCGGCGAGCTGACCGGGCAGCTCGACCCCCGTAAGTTGACCGGGTC